TTTATCTAATACAGACTTTCAATTAAAATTACTTATGCAGGTAGAAGTAATTCTACCTGGTGGTAGTTCTTGTCTAGGTGATGTAATTAGTGTTGATTGGCATTTCAATATTTCTGCTATCAGAATCCAATCATCGGCTCCTTTGCCAACAGCCAAACTGAGGTGTTTGGATGATGCTATTCAGACTCATGATTTAAGCAGACCTCAAGTCCAGCAGAATTCCAGTTTATTGAAATTACTTCCTGGGGATGATTTTATCGCTTTAGGCCGTCATTATTCTGAACCGTATGACCTTATGGTTGCTCCTGGTAAATTTAGGTAAAAATTATTATTATTCTTTGAGAATGTCAAAAGGAAGCCCTTCTATTAGATGATAATAGTGAAGAAAACATATGTTTATTTGGTTAAAAATGAAAATGTTTTTCTTGGCCTCACTTAGCTCAGTAATTTTTTTATCATCCTTTTTTAAACTTCTGCATTCAGACTAGTGACACCTAAAGTGAGCTTGTGGACTATTAGCACTGGTATCCCGTCAACATACCATATCTAGATGATGATGTATTGTTGGATATTTTCAGTGATTTATGATCCCTTTGTTTTTCTGAGAATGCTTTGGTATTGGTCTACTATCAAGTTTTGTTGTCTACATTTTTAGCATCGACCGTTGCGAATTAGATTGCAAAGAGCTTCTCAGAGTGAACTGCATGATTACAAAAGTAATTTCTGTTCCTTTTCTTTTACGTGGATTTTGCATACTCAAAATGCTTTTAATGGCTAGTTCTTCTCAATAGTGTGGAATAGGGGGCGCAATGGTCAACCTTTATGGTGAGGTGGTTGGTATCAATTTTTACGCTAAAGAATTTACTCCTTTTCTACCAATGAATGTCGTCTGCAAGTGGTGGGACCATGTTAAATCCGGCAGGTGTGTTCCAAAATCTTTTGTATATTGTGTTGCTACTACAAATCAATAATTTGTAAAAAGCAAATCTCTTTATTCCTTTCACTCTCTATGAGATTGTACCCTACACAATTGATTTTCTTTTTAAGAGTTTTTATTAAAATTTAGAAGTAATATTGGTATATAGATGAACTATATTGATATCATGCATTTTAAGCATATCAGTTTGTTCATTATTTCATACCTTATTTCGAAGTCATAACTTCTACATTTACTGTCCTTTTCCATTTATATTGTTTAGTCATCCAACTATTATTTGGAAACACTTGAAGCTTAACACTTACTTTCATTGTGAAGTTATTTCAAACAGTTTTTAATTAATTATTTTTCTGCCTTATGGAACTTCCAACGTAAGGCGTAAGATCATTCTCTTCGATGCTTAAATTTCTTTTTTCGAAGCTTTCAATGTTTCATCATCCTTTCAAGTTAGTTTTAGTGATGTCAGTTTATTGTTGTTGAACCAAATGTGATGATGAGTTTCCTTGTGTCAAACTTTGCAAGTTTTCTGGCAATTTGATCCCAAGGTAGTTGATCTTAGGTGATGTAATTAAGCCGAAGTAGATTGAGTCTTGACGTGCATGTACTTTCAATTTAGTAGTAGATCAGTTTAACCTATTACATTGTGGTGCAGTTGAGCTTAAGAACATAGTTTATCTATGTAACTGGTAGTAATGTTTTCATATATAGACATGCTATTTGAATGAGGGTTTATTCATTGGTTGAGTTTTTAAGTTAACTTGGTGTTAGCGAAGAAGTGGCATTCATAGAGCATATGTTGACATATGCAATAATGATTTGGCATAGGAAATACAGCCGAACATGGCTAGGGATGAAAGTAATTAGACTTTTCGCCGCTGAGATGAATGAACTCAGAAAGATTTTGGTGAAATTTCCAAATATCTCTGAACAATTATAAATTTTTATAAAGAGAATTGGTACAAGTTCTATTCCTTAGGTTTGTAAGGTATGATATGATGGATTTAGATGGATATAAATATATCCATTTCTCTAACCAAGTTGCCTCCAATTTTAAATCCATTGGATCCAACTTAACAGAGGGTTGTGATTTGTTCTTGAGTAAACATTTTATGTCTTGGTTTTTATGTTCACTGATATTTTCTAATTTTTTGGTTCTTCATTCACGTGATAGTGTGGCATTGGGGGCCCAATGATCAACCGAAAGGCAGAGGTGATCGGAGTCAACTTCTTTCATTTCGATTTCACTCCTTGTCTACCTATCAACATAGTTTCCAAATGGTGGAGTCATTATACGAAATATAAGTAAGTTACATACTTCTTTCGAATTTAAAAAATATTGATGCAGTCGAGAATATCCATAATTTATTAACCTAGGGACAAGGTTGATGGTTTAATTAGTGACCAATTTTCTACTAGATATTGATCGATGTTTTAATTTCATCCCACACTCCAATAGTCGATTATATATATTTCATTCCTTCATTTTGATTTAGATATCTCATATGCTGTAGATACTTCTATTAGATACTAAATAGAGCTTTGGTGCAGGAACTATTGTCGACCTTGGCTTGGGATGGAATTGAGTAATCTCTTCACTGTTGAAGTATGTACCTGGGAGAAGATCATACAAAAGTTTCCGAGTATAAAAATGGGCGTTCTAGTTGATGAGGTAGGAACTATTTTTGTAGTTATTTTTTTTATGAGCCGAGCTTGTTTCTTTCAGTGAGCATGAATATTAAATCTTTTTGTATAACTGGTTTATGGATTACGTTTATCTAGATTTAGGGAAGAATTGTATCACAGTTAAAGTTTGCTAAAAATTATTAATTCCTAAATTTGAAACAGAGAATATCTTACCTGGACATGGAAACAAAATTCAGTAATTTCTAGAACTTAAAATGTTAATGCTGCATATAAAAGCTCAAAACTGCATAAATATTTTGTTTGTCAAATTGTAATTTATCACATGAAAATTGTGTCTCTTGGTCATTGAATGTCTAGGTTGCTCCGAATTCCCCAGCTGGTTCTGTAAGCGTGCAACCAAATGATATTATAGTTGAATGTGATGGAGTTGCTATTACTAGTAACTTACAGGTATATATTGCTGTTAATAATTTTCTTTTCAGTTTGTTTATTATTTTGTCTTAAGAAAATATATATTCTTCCCAGTTCTTTGACCTAATATGGGACAAGACTGGAAATATGGTGAAATTGGGTTTAGCAAGGACAAGTGATGGTTCTCGTGAAAATCTATCTGTGATGGTTCTCACCTCATCTAGGCTGTCGGTTTATGGAATAAAACTCACTCATTGGTCAATGCGTTCTGAATACGCGCGTCGGATGTTATAGACTATGGCTATGTTTGGTAGACAAATAAGCTAGCTTATAGCTTATTTTGTTAGCTTGTAAGCTCCCTGTTTTTAAATAAATAAGCTTCGTTTGGTAGGACGAGATTTTTTAAAAAGTTCGAGCTTATATGATAACTTCTTTGGGTAGCTTTTCAAATAAGCTCGCTGAAATTTTTATTTCAGCTAGCTTATCATTTAATTTTACCAAACACTTTTATCACATAAGCTAGCTTTTCAGCTATAAGTCATAAGCTATAAGCTATAAGCTCAAAAATTAATGATAAACTATAAGCTAGCTTATCAGCTATTAGCTAGTTTTACCATATGTCTATGTTTGGTAACCAAATAAGCTAGCTTATAGCTTATTTGGTTAACTTATAAGATCTCTGTAATCAAATAACCTTCGTTTGGCAGTACGAGTTTCTTAAAAAGGCTCGAGCTGATCTCATAAGTGGATAGCTTTTCAAATAAGCTCGTTAAAATTTTAATTTCAGATAACTTATCGGCTAGTTTTACCAAACACTTTTATCATATAAACTAATTTTTCAGTTATAAGTCATAAGATATAAACACTAAACTCAAAAATCACTAATAAGCTATAAACTAGCTTATCAGCAATCAACTAGTTTTATCAAACATAAAATAATACAAATTCAGAATATGAGTAATAACGGAGGTCCAATTAATTTACGTCGTCAACACATAATAAATTTATCATTGTATAAATATAATTCACTAGTTAAAATCAAATTATTTTTAAAATTACACTACTATTGTTAATGATAGTTAATTCATTTGTATGTAGGTTGTGAATTATATTAATATTTTAGTAGACACCAATAGTACCATATTTTGTCAAACACGATTTTATCCACGACATATGAATCTCAACAGCTTTCTGCAAACAAGAACGGTTGAAAAAAAAATAAAATTGATCGCCGCCACAAGGCCGCCATTATTCCGTGAGTCCCAAGAAAAAGTTGAGAAAAAGCTCCAATTTTCAAAACTCAAAGTCCTCCTAGCCACAGAATACTTTTGCTGCTGTTGGTATTTTATTGACTTTTGTTCTTCTGTGTGGTGTGGCGAAATTACACTGAAATTTGTTTAACTTGATGGGTTAATAGGATTAGATCTCTGATCGAGTTGGGCACTGATGTTAGGAAAAGAGTGATTTGTAAAGGTGAGGTTTGTGATATATAAGATAAAGATAGGTAATTTTGGTGCTGTTGATTATTTTCTTGATTTTTTGTTCTTCGGCGGGGTATGGTGAAAGTAATTATACTGAAATCTGATCAACTTGATGGATTAATGGGATTAGGACTCTGATAAGTTGGGCATTGATGTTAGGAAAAGAGTGAACTTTTAAAGGTAAGGTTCGTGATATATAAGATTATAGGTGGGTAATTTTGCTGCCAGTGGATATTTTCTTGCTCTTTTTTTTTTTTTCTGTGACATATGGTGAATTTAATTATACTGAAATTTGATCAACTGGATGGATTAATCATTAATAAGATTAGATCCTGATCGAGTTGGGCATTGAGTTTGGGAAAAGATTCAATTTTTAAAGGTGGAAGAAATAGAAGACCAAGAATCCCAGACAATTTTGTGCTCTAATTTTACATGATGAGTCTCATTATCTTTTTATGATTCTTTGATTTCCTTTTCCCCAGTAAGCTTCAGTTGTGGCATGGAGTCTATGGCACCATTGGTTCTATCTGTGCTTCGTGTGTGTTGATTTTCTTATCTCTCACACATAAAATTGGTGTGCCAAATTTTTTAAATTGGTGAAAATTTTCCTCTTTATGTTTGATTTAAAATGTGTGATATCATATGATTTATGCCTAAGAGTCTTTGTTTTGATGGTTCCGACGGGAATTTGATGTTAGGGAACTCAATAATGTATTCAGCAGATTAGACAGGACAAGAGAAAAAAACTAAAAATTTTCAAATCTCTAAAAAATGCCTGATCATTGATGTAGATGGAAGTTGCTAGGAAATCATGTCATATATTCGGGGAAAGAGAGAAGCACTTAGACTATCAGATTTTAAAATTATATAGGATAATAGGATGAATCATTTTTTTTTTTTTAAACTTTATGTGACATTAATTCTGCAATGATTTATCCAAGCCTTCTTTTTTTCTTTATATTGGGCTGTTTTCTTGATTTTTGTTCTTCCATAAAGCCCTCTGTTACTTTGATTTTTAAATTTAGGAGTCGAGCTTTACTTGTTTGGTTATTTATTTATTGGCATTTGCTGACACAATTTGTTCCTTCGTGTTAATAGATTTTGTACATCTAGTAACAATTTTATGAATTCGGACCATCATTTATAGTCGGTTCTTTTTATTTGCGAGCGGTTCTCATTATCGGATTCGTACGATATGGTCCAACAGTAGGTGTTGAAGCCCAATAAATTGGCCTTAGATTTCAACCCAATAACCTGACCCATTTTTCTAACCCAATTTCACGATATTAACGCCTCTCTTTCCAATTCATTTAATGAATAAGATTGAGTTGAGCCATTTTATTTCTTCTGCTGCCATGTTTAACGGATAAAATAAATTGAGTTGAAGTACATTCTTTGACCAGCCAATGAACATGGTAATGTGAAAATTTCCAAGAGTTTGCAAATGCTCTTTCATGCTATGTTGCTATCGTATCATTGTACACATAATATTAAGTTATTAACATTTAAAAAGAAGTGCAACTATCAAATCTTTTATATGCCAAAACAGTCGTTCTTGTATTTCCATCATGGTCTCTACTCTGAATTTGTGTAATTACTAATTATATGCGACTTTTGGTAAATTCTGTTTCTTTTTATTTATTTCGTACACTTGTTTATGGCATTTTAGGAGAATTTTCCATCAAAAGACCCCTCAAAAGCTATGGACTGGAAATCTTCGCTGTTACCACCTTGATCCGCTCCAAACGGCCGTATGATAACTGTCTTTCGGCCTTTTTCGTGAATACTTATGTAACGGCTGTAAATGTTTGAAGCGGCTTGTAGGGTTATGTGATCTCCATAAACGGTAGGCCTTGACATCGTCTCCAGATAATCTTCGTCATCCCCAACAACAAATTCGTAGTAGGAAGTGGGATTTGTCCTTAATTCATGTACAACAGCCTGTCGCACACGATTGTGCTGACGTGCATCTGAATGCACAAAGTCGGCAATCGCCCCAAACTGACAGTTATCGTCGGGGTCAATTCGAATTTCTACAAATTCCGTTTCTGATTCTTGGCTTTGCTCTTCGGTGCCACCTTTTTCTTGCCTTTGCTCTTATCTTCCTTCGGCGCCTTCTTCTTGTGGGTTTCCTCATCCGAAAGGATTACTATCTCTGGGCACCGTTCTTTGCACTTCTTGACGTCAAGACCACCTTTGTCGATCGGCTCCTCGGATATGGTCCTTCACACCGAGGGATCTAGTATCACTGATGGACTCATCTCTGTTCGGCCCCCGCTTCGAAATCACAAGAAAACAACTCGTTTCGAGCATCGACGAACTTCTGGAGACCATGTCCGAGGAGCCGATCGGCAAAGGTGGTCTTGACGTCAAGAAGCGCAAAGAACGGTGCCCAGAGATAGTGATCCTTTCGGACGAGGAAACCCACAAGAAGAAGGCGCCGAAGGAAGATAATAGCAAAGGCAAGAAGAAGGTGGCACCGAAGAGCAAAGCCAAGAATCAGAAATGGAATTCGCCTGTCAATCTCGTAGAAATTCGAATTGACCCCGACGGTAACTGCCAGTTTGGGGCGATTGCCTACTTTAAGCATTCAGATGCACGTCAACACAATCGTGTGCGACAGGCTGTTGTACATGAATTAAGGACAAATCCCAGTGCCTACTACGAATTTGTTGTTGGGGATTGCGAAGATTATCTAGAGACAATGTCAAGGCCTACCGTATATGGAGATCACATAACCCTACAAGCCGCTTCAAATGTTTACGGCCGTTACATAAATGTTCACGAAAAAGGCCGTTGTTATCATACGGCCGTTTGGAGCGGATCAAGGTGGTAACAGCGAGGATTTCACTATTGATATATGTCTGGAGGGTGGATTTCAGGCCTAGTTATAGTATCGGTATTTTTCAATTTCTTCTCTATCTACACCTTAGTTCACACTTCCTATTATGATTGTGCAGTCACGGATAGCCTCTTTCTATTTTATTTCATTTTATGTAACATTATATTTGTTTTTTAGATGAAAATCTGGAGTATGATGTAATGAAGGATTCTTTCAAGACAAGGTTTTCTTTATTATATTGGAACCGAGATTTGGATATTTATGTTAAGAGAATAGCCAATAAAGCTGCTCCATCAGTTGTCTCCTTACAAGTTTCTTCAGGTAATCACCGTACACTGATGTGGTTTCTTTACTTACTCTTATGGTTTTGACTCAGATAGACTATAATCAGCTTTCTGAGCTGTTAATTTAATTTGCTTGTCTAGGTGGAAATGAGATATTTGGCTTTGTCATCGAATGTGACACTGTCATAACTTCTGCCAGTCTCTTAAATTTTCTGGATACTCAATCCGGTGATCTAAAGGTTTGTCAACTTAAAAGTACATGTTGGTAGCAGATCTTAAGTTGTGTAAAATTTCAGCTTTTAAGATTTTCTTTTTAATTTTATTGGGGTTTTTTCTTTTTAGTTCCTTACGGTTCATGCTTCCGTTTTATTTTTCTACTTAAGTTTCTTTCCTTCTTTTTTTTTTAATTATTTTTTTGGGAGTTGCCTTTGTTTTAGTTTTTTCTTTTTCTCTTTATTGTCCTGTCTCCTCAATACTTTAAGGACCTGATGACCTTATATTTGAAGGTTTGTGTGGGTTTATGTGATGGTGAAAAATGTGATGGAGTGATTGTGGCCTGTGACTTTCACTATAACCTTGCTGCCATAAAAATTCAAGCAGGCAAGCCACTGCAAATTGCTCGGTTAAAGTATCTGGATGATTCAATCTGCATTTATCCAACCAACTTGTCGATTGGCAAACTACATGAGATGCATTCTGATCTATTCAGAATATTTCCTGGGGAAAGAGTTATAGCACTTGGACGTTTTATTGATGATATTGGTGATATTATGGTCTCACCTGGTGAATTCAGGTAAAAAAATCAAATCTATAGCTCACACTGATTATTTTCCCCCCCTTTAAAAGGAAAGACTGAAATTTCTTTCTATCATTCAAATAAATATTTGGTTTGTTGTCTATTGTTTATGAATGTGAATATTTCTCTGTTTTGGGTTTAAATAGTTGCATTTTTGGGAACGAACTCTGTTAGGAGTAAAGGATAATGAAGGAAAAAGAAATAAGTAATTTTATTGATGATAATAATATAATAGGACGAACAAGAAGTATGAAACTTCTCTCTGCTGCCCAAGCAAGAAACTTGCCTAATTCCCTATGCTATTACTAAATAAATCTCTTCATGCTATCCTCTTGACAACCATGTCTTATATACTAAACTAAAACTAATATAAAATGGTAATAAGAAATATGAGGCTTAAGAAAATAATAACATGTAAGGAATAATGACCAGTCAAAATCCATAAGATTAAGCACCGATTAAGTCCCCAAAAAATCAACATAAGCTATTCTAAGATTGATATCATTCCATTCTTGCTTCTCTATAGATGAAAATTTATCAAGTTGATTTAATAAGATGCTTTCGTGATTGCAACAAGTTATATTTCCTTTGTAGTGTTGAACAATGCCGACTAGACTGTGAAGAGCTGTTGAGATCAACTGGCAGAATTACTCAAGTAAGAATCATTTTTCTTCACATCATATCTTTTTGATTTTCACACACATATGCACCTTACAAATAATTGAAGAGATGTTGGAGTAAAGAAGAGTCAAGATGTTGATTGGAAATATATCCTTGCCGATCTTTGGGTAATACATATACAAGGAATTGGTTCGAATGGGAACCATTTCTTTACGTGAAAATATAAAACTAAACTATGGCCTTTCAATGACTTTAGATCTAATAGATTGACAAATAAATGTACACATTATGCAGTGTGTATTTATCCTTTGACTTGTGCGTTAATAGACTATAAATATGCACCCATGGACTTCTGAATGTGGATTAATGGATATCTAATCGAGTACTATTGTACTTCTAAATCTGAAATTGTATACCATTTTGTAAATTGATTTTCAAAGTGAACAATTACAAAATTTTATATAGCGAATTGGTATAAGTTCTATTCCTTAGGTTTGTAAGGTATGATATGATGGATTTAGATGGATATAAATATATCCATTTCTCTAACCAAGTTGGCTCCAATTTTAAATCCATTGGATCCAACTTAACAGAGGGTTGTGATTTGTTCTTGAGTAAACATTTTATGTTTTGGTTCTTATGTTCACTGATATTTTCTAATTTTTTGGTTCTTCATTCACGTGATAGTGTGGCATTGGGGGCCCAATGATCAACCGGAAAGCAGAGGTGATCGGAGTCAACTTCTTTCATTTCGATTTCACTCCTTTTCTACCTATCAACATAGTTTCGAAATGGTGGAGTCATTATACAAAATATAAGTAAGTTACATACTTCTTTCGAATTTAAAAAATATTGATGCAGTCGAGAATATCCATAATTTGTTAACCTAGGGACAAGGTTGATGGGTTAATTAGTGACCAATTTTCTACTAGATATTGATCCAATATTTAATTTCATCGCACACTTCAATAGTCGATGATATATTCCATTCTTTCATTTTGTTTTAGATATCTCATGTGTTGTAGATACTTCTATTAAATAGAGCTTTGGTGTAGGAACTATTGTCGACCTTGGCTTGGGATGGAATTGAGTAATCTCTTCACTGTTGAAGTATGTACCTGGGAGAAGATCATACAAAAGTTTCCGAGTATAAAAATGGGCATTCTAGTTGATGAGGTAGGAACTATTTTTGTAGTTAATTTTTTTATGAGCCGAGCTTGTTTCTTTTAGTGAACGTGAATATTAAATCTTTTTGTATAACTGATTTATGGATCACGTTTATCTATGCTTTAGGGAAGAATTGTATCACAGTTAAAGTTTGCTAAAAATTATTAATTCCTAAATTTGAAAAAGAGAATATCTTACCTGGACATGGAAACAAAATTCAGTAATTTTAAAACTTAAAAATGTTAATGCTGCACATAAGCTCAAAACTGCATAAATATTTTGCTTGTCAAATTGATTGTAATTTATCACATGAAAATTGTGTTCTCTTTGTCATTGAATGTTCAGGTTGCTCCAAATTCCCCAGCTGGTTCTGTAAACGTGCAACCAAATGATATTATAGTTGAATGTGATGGAGTTGCTATTACTAGTAACTTACAGGTATATATTGCTGTTAATATTTCTTTTCAGTTTGTTTATAATTTTCTCTTAAGAAAATATATATTCTTCCCAGTTGTTTGACCTACTATGGGACAAGACTGGAAATATGGTGAAATTGGGTTTAGCAAGGACAAGTGATGGTTCTCGTGAAAATCTATCTGTGATGGTTGCTGATGCACCAGCCCTACTCAGTTTAATTGGTAAAGCTTGTTTGACTAGTGTTATCGTTTAAGAAGTAAATCTATCTGTGATGGTTGCTGATGCCAGCCCTACTCTCGTTACCAGGAGATCTCCTACTGTATTCTTGACATTGAGATCAAACATCTTGGTTGGCAACAAACTTTGGAACCTTCTTGCTCTCAATCTCATGCTTGCGCAGGTCAAAAAGAAAAAGAAAAACTTGCGTATGTTTTTAAACAGATCTAGGAAGAAGTGTTTTTTTTTTTCTTTTTTTTTTTTTTTTTTTTTTTTTTTTTTCTTTCCAACTCTTATAATTTCTTTCTCTTACTTATCTTACACCTGCGCATGTTTATGTTCAAAAGAATCTGGCATCTTAATGTTGTGTATGCATAAACTACATCAGATAAGGAGGTTTTAAAGTAGGGCTTTGGATAGTTTTATTTGTACTGAGTTTTAGGTCAACTTATACCTGTTAGCGCTTCGATAATAATCTAGTCCACTAAGGATTATTATTGAATTTTTCTTTAACCTCCAATTACATTGGGTTGATTTATCTACTTGATATATCTCACTAAGTAAAAATACTGTTGTTCGTTAATTAATTTAATTATTAATAATTTAATTAATTAACTTGTTGATTTGGATATTAGTATCACTCAACCTTATTATTAGGTCAAAAATTAATCCACCTGCATAGTTTAACATTATAATCTTTTTTAGCTCATTTCGGGGTTATCCTCATCCTAATGCATTAGGACAAAATGTCTAACAAAATAACAACACACTTTACAAGCATCACTACTTCTCACCTCATCTAGGATGTCGGTTTATGGAATAAAACTCACTCATTGGTGAGTCAAAGCAATGCGTTTTGAATACGCGCGTCGGATGTAATAGACTATGTTTGGTAACCAAATAAGCTAGCTTATAGCTTATTTAGGTAACTTATAAGCTTTCTGTATTCAAATAAGCTTCATTTGGCAGTAAGGGTTTTTATAAAAAGGCTCGAGCTGATCATAAGTTTATTTGGGTAGCTTTTCAAATAAGCTCGTTAAAATTTTTCAGATAGCTTATCAGCTAATTTTACCAAACATTTTTATCATATAAACTAACTTTTCAATTATAAATCATAAGATATAAACTACAAACTCGAAAATCATTAATAAACTATAAACTAGCTTATCAGTAATCAGCTAGCTTAACAACTAGTTTTACCAAACATAACAATAATACCGATTCAGAATAATGACTAATAAAGGAGGCCTAATTAATTTACGTCGTCAACACAAAATAAATTTATCATTGTACTAATTAATTCATTAGTTAAAATCAAACTATTTTTAAAAATACACTACTATTGTTAATGATAGTTAATTCATTTATATGTAGGTTGTGAATTATATTAATATTTTACTAGACACCAATAATACCATATTTTGTCAAAACACGATTTTATCCACGACATATGAATCTCAACAGCTTTCTGCAAACAACAACGGTTAAATTGATCGCCGCCACATGGCCGCCATTATTCCGTGAGGCCCCAGAAAAAGTTGTTGAGAAAAAGCTCCAATCTTCAAAACTCAAAGTCCTAGCCACAGAAAGATAGGTACTTTTGCTGTTGTTGGTATTTTATTGATTTTTGTTCTTCTGTGTGGTGTGGCGAAATTACACTGAAATTTGATTAACTTGATGGGTTAATAGGATTAGATCTCTGATCGAGTTGGGCACTGATGTTAGGAAAAGAGGGATTTGTGAAGGTGAGGTTTGTGATATATAAGATAAAGATAGGTAATTTTGGTGCTGTTGATTATTTTCTTGATTTTTTGTTCTTCGGTGGGGTATGGTGAAATTAGTTATGCTGAAATCTGATCAACTTGATGGATTAATGGGATTAGAACTCTGATCGAGTTGGGCATTGATGTTGAGAAAAGAGTTAACTTTTAAAGGTAAGGTTTGTGATGTATAAAGAATAAAAGTGGGTAATTTTGCTGCCGTTGGTTATTTTCTTGCCTTTTATTCTTCTGTGACGTGGTTAATTTAATTATACTGAAATTTAATAAACTTGATGGTTTAATGGGATTAGACCCTGATCGAGTTGGGCATTGAGTTTTGGAAAAGATTCAATTTTTAAAGGTGGAAGAATTAGAAGACCAAGAATCCCCGACAATTTTGTGCTCTATTGCTATCTTTTTTCTGTGAACTGTCAACTCTGATGAGTTATAAAATACATGGAGTTTGAGGCATTCCTGCACAAATTTTTATCTAATTTTCTCTTTATTTCTTCATCTATTGATACAACAGGTCCTCTGTAGATTGTGAATCTGGATTCGCGAGTTTCACAAAAATTTAATCAAATACCATGTACACACATTAACGCCGTTAGGTTTCCTTTCCATTTCCTTTTTAATTTACTTTATATTTTTTATATTTTTTTATCAAGAAGGAAAAGAAAAGAACAACAATATGAGCAATCACAACAATCAATCAAGAAAAGACCACAAATTATTAGAGTGGACCAATTGGATCTGGCCTGGCCTTTTGCTCTCACTTTCCTTTTCATCCACATAAAACGCTCACATTCTACACACTGACACTCTTTTCTACATGAGTTGACAATCAACCAAGTCTCTCCAGATCCTTATGGAAATGTAGATAGCTCTGTGGAGGTACCACAATTTTACTTGGTTTTGTTGCTTATTTTTTTCGCCCTGCAATTTTACACCATTGGTTCTATCCGTGCTGCGTGTGTGTTGATTTTCTTTTCTCCCGCACATAAAATTGGTGTGCCAAATTTTAAATTGGTGAAAATTTCTCCTCTTCATGTTTGATTTAAAATTTGTGATATCTTATGATTTATGACTAAGAGTCTTTGTTTTGATGGTTCCTATGAGAATTTGATGTTAGGGAAGTCAATAATGAATTTAGATTAGACAGGAA